AGATGAGGTCTCACCAAGTTGCCCAGGCAGGTCTCGAACCCGCGGGCTCAGGCAATCCACTCACCTCAGCCTCCCAAAGCACGGGATTACAGCTGAGCCACCGAACCTGGCTTTTTTTTTGGAGTTGGAGTGTCACTCTGTCATTGAGGCTGGAAATGTAGTGGCATGCTCATGGCTACCACAGCCTCGATGTACCAGGCTCAGACATCCTTCCGCCTCAAACTTCCAAATAGCTGGAACTACAGGTGTGCACCACCACACCTGGCTAATTTTTTGATTTATTGTAGTAGAGACGAGGTCTCTCCATGTTACCCAGGCTGATCTCGAACTCCTGGACTCAGGTAGTCCTCTCACCTCAACCTCCCAAAATGCTGGGATTACAGGCTTGAGCCACTGTGCCTGGGCCTGTAAATTTCTTTAATGTTAGGCTTACTTAATAAGAGCTGGATCATGCTTTCAATCGGTTGCAACATCACACTTCTTATAGCTTCTGGAAAACTCTATTGTATACTTGTATGATATTACGAGTAAAAAAGCAAAAAAGGTCTTAGGAAATTATGAACATTGTTTTGATTTTATGGGTCCTCTATTAGGGTTTTAAGAATCCTCCAGGGATCCCTGGTTTATACTCTGAGAATCACTCGTCTCCATCATTACTGATTTCTAATTATTTTATCAACTGCTGAGAGATATCAAATCCACCATTATTATTATGAAATCGTTTACATCTCCAGTTAATACTGTAAATTTTCTTTTTTTTTTTTTTGAGTCAGAGTCTCACTGTTGTCCAGGCTGGAATGCACTGGTACACTTACAGCCTCTTAAGCCTCGTCTGCTGGGCTCAGGCAATTCTTCCTCCTCAGCCTTCCAAGTAGCTGGAACCATAGGCCAGAGCCACCTCATCTGGCTAATTTTTTGATTTATTATAGAGATGAGGTCTTGCCAAGTTGCCTGGACTGTTCTCAAACCCATGAGCTGAGGCAATTCACTCACCTCGGCCTCCCAAAGGGCTAGGATTACACGAGTGAGCCACCCTACCCGGCTATTCTGTAATTATTTTAAAAATGCATTCTGGAGCTTTGTTATTAGATGTATACACATTTATAATTATTATCAATTTCTGATTGACACTATAATCATAAGCTATCTTCTTTAATCTCTGTGATACTCTGTCTTGAAATCCACTTTGTCAGATATTAACAAAACTACCCCAGCCTTATTTTACATTTTGTATAGCATATCTATTTCTATATCTTTATATATTTTTTAAACTTTAAAAGTGGACAGTGTTAGTTGAGTTTTCTTCCCCTATATGTATTCTGACAGTCTCTGCTTTTAATCCGGATGTTGAGTCCACTAACAGTGTATTTATTAATATAGTTCTATTGAGGTCGACCTTGTGAGTATCTCATTCTGTCGCCCAGGCCGGAATGCAGTGGCACATCATGGCTCACCTCAGCCTCAACTTCCTGGCAACCATTCCACCTCAGCCTCCTGAATAGCTGGGAATATAGGTGCGTGCCACCATGCCCAGCTTATTTTTTTATATTTTTGAAGAGACAATGTCTCTATGTTGCCAAGACTGATCTTAAACTCCTGGGTCTCCCAAAGTACAGGGGTTACAGGCATGAGCCACCAGGCCTGGCTGAGGTCTACTATTTTAGTATTTATTTTCTCTTCTGTCTCCTTTTGGTTTTTTGTTCCTCTTTTCCTTCATTTATACCTTTTAAAAAATCACTGAAAGTGTGGTAGAATTCCATGTGTGGGTTGACTGTTTAGGCTGTCTTCCCAACACTGTCCTGTCAGTGCTTTCTGTACCCAGGCCAGCACAATGCCTGAAACATCACAGGTACTGAGTAAATGTGGGCAGGATGATTCCAGTATGTCTTCCTCCCCTCTGACTCCACCCCAGATCAACCCCAGAAGGAGGGCAGCCCCTTCTGAGAGTGGGAACAGGAGATTTAGGCTGTTGTTTTTACCCAAGTCCTGGGACTGGTGACAGTTTTTCCGACCCTGTGCCTGGGTTTTCTGTTTCCTGGGCCCGGTGATGGGCTCGATGTGGATGCAGGTGGGCTCGTGCCCTCCTGGGTGTCTCTTCCGTCTCCTTTCTCGCAGCAGCCTGAGAAGCAAAGATGCGGGTCTGGGTGTGCGGGGCGGGCTCAGCTCCCTCCACTGGAGCAGGGCAGCTGCCTCGTGCCCTCTTGGTCTTCTCAGAAGCTCCTGCACGTTTCCAGGAACGACCTGGCGGGTCTCATCTCTGCCCTCCCTGTGGGTGGCCAGGGTCCCCGAGGTGGCCATGCAGAACCCTCTGGTCAGTTCCATCCTGGAAGACACTCTTCCTGCTCGGCCCCCTGCGATAAGGTTGGAGGCGTCATTCTCAGTCCTGGTTCGGTGTTTTTCCTGGCCATCTGGAGTGGCTTTTGTCTGTCCCAGTGTGTGCATTCCATGGGGTGGGACGAGGCGGACGTGACCTCAGGAGCCAGACAGGAACTCAACGGAGACATGCTGGCGTGCACGCCCTCCTGACCCAACCCGAGCTGGGCCCAGGGTGTGGGAAGGTGCCGGAAGGAGGGATCATCCCGGCACACGGGGCTGGTCATTGTGGGGTCTGCAGGCAGCAGAGGGTCTGCAGGTGGCTGTGCCAGTGGAGATGCCTGACTTCTTGGGTGGGCTCTGGACCCAGTCGTCCCCAGGGTCCCTCCCGTTCCCTGTTTTGTTTTTGTTTTTTGTTTTTTTTTTGAGTTGGAATCTCACTCTGTCTCCCAGACTGGAGGGTAGTGACACGCTCCCGGCCACCGCAGCCTCAACCTGTTGGGCTCCGATCCTTCCGCCTCAGTCTTCCAAGTAGCTGGAACTACAGGCGAGCGCTACCACGCCCGGCTAATTTTTTGATTTATTGCAGAGATGATGTCTTGCCAAGTTGCCCAGGCAGGTCTCGAACCCGCGGGCTCAGGCAATCCACTCACCTCAGCCTCCCAAAGGCGTGGGATTACAGGCTGAGCCACCGAGCCTGGCTTTTTGTTTTTTGTTTTTTTAAGCAGGATTTATTGAGAGGACAGAAAAGCTCCCACAGTGGGAGGGGACCCGAAGGGTTGCCCCCTTCCCTGTTTTTTAGGTGTCGAGTACTGGGAAAGCCAGCGAGGCCTGCTCACCCCAGCCTTGCAAAGGTGCGATTCCTGAGCTGCTGTGGGGAGCGGCGGCCTTCCCTCCCACAACAGTCTCGCCAGTTCCGTGTCCCCAGTGGGCCCGGGACCCTGTCTTTCCTGTCTGTCTGTCCCCCCCCAGCTGGTCGACTGGGCTCCCAGGACCCAACCTGGATGAACACGACAGGCTCCTGAGGCCCTGCCATGGGAGGGAGGGGCCGACGGCAGCTCGTTCCTGACACCCTTTGTTCCTGTCCTGTGCCCCTTTAAGGACCCATCGTCACAGAGTTTACCCGTGCCAGGCACTTTCTGAGCATTTTCCATGTCATCATGTGTTTACTCTGTTCAGCAACCTGCCCAGACAGGTGACAGAATTCTCCCATCTTACACGTGGGGAAACCGAGGTACGGGAGACTACAGTGACTTGCCCAGGTTCGCCAGCTAGTAAAAAGGTCATGGCAGCTGTGCTCGGTGTCTCAGCCTGTAACCCTGCACTTTTGGGAGGCTGAGGTGAGTGGATTGCCTGAGCCCGCAGGTTCGAGACCTGCCTGGGCAGCGAGACCTCATCTCTACAATAAATCAAAAAATCAGCCGGGCGTGGTAGTGCACACCTGTAGTTCCGGCTACTTGGAAGGCTGAGGCGGAAGGATCACCGGTCTGGGTGACAGAGTGAGACTCCAACTCATGACACACTTCTACTCCAGGCAGCCTGACTTCCTGCGGGGCTGAGATGGGGGCTGGCAGCTCAGTGGGGGCTGATGGCAGGAGACAGAGGCCAGGCTTCTCTGCTGCACCCAGTACCTGTCTCCCCCAAGGGGACGCTTGGAGGCAGGGGCTGGTAAGCAGGGCCCAGAGGCTACCTTCTGGGTGCCCGTTCACCTTGACCCTGGACTGTTAGAGCCCGACCTGCCCTTGGCAGGGCGTCTCTCCCTGAGCATCTTGCCCAGCATGGTGGGTGACTTCTCTGGGCCTCTTGCCGGGTGCTGGGAGGTGATGGTCATGGTGCCCTGTCCCCTCTAGCTCAGTTGGACCAGGTGTCCCAGATGAGCCCCCAGGAGCGCCTGAGCCGGGAGCCGGCCCTCCAGCAGAAGCAGGTGGCCCTGGAGGCCTGGCTGCAGCGTGAGGCCCAGACGCTGCAACAGTACCGCGTGGTGAGTGGGGTCCTGGGTCCTCAACCCAGGCATGAACCACTACCTGAATCCTGGCACCAGGGGAGGGATGGAGCTAGGATCAGACAAGCCCTGGGAGTGCAAGGTGCAGAGGCTTCTTTCCTGGGCCGGAAGTGAGGCTGAGCAGCTGGGAGAGGGTGCAGCCAACCCGCCCTGCGGGTGTTGCTGGAGCCCAGCAGGCCCACCCTCCCACCGCCCTCAGGAGCTGGCTGAGAAGCACCAGAAGACCCTGCAGCTGCTACGGAAGCAGCAGACCATCATCCTGGACGATGAATTGATTCAGTGGAAGCGGCGGCAGCAGCTGGCGGGGAATGGCGGGCCCCCCGAGGGTAGCCTGGATGTGCTGCAGTCCTGGTAAGGCATGGACAGCAGGCAGGGTGGGCAGAGCCTGTGCAGGAGGGCTTTTCCATCCTGGGCCAGCTCTTGTGTCACCAGTGGGCCTGGTCCTGGTTCAGACTGTGGTCCCCATTACAGCCACCTCCCTCAGGAAGGGAGTCACTATCCAGGGAATGGGACGGGGCCCGGGTGTGCAAGTGAAACCTGGGCTGGTTGGGCCTGAATTGGGGTCCCCTGTGTGTGTCCCTGTTTTTCTGGGAGGTAGCACCTCTGCTGTGCCCCGGGAAGGAGATGGGGCAAGCCCAGAACCTTGCCTGGTGAGGCCTTGCTGGGGGTGGGCGGAGCTGGTCTTGGGGTTAGGCTCTGGCCTGGGGTGTGGGAAGTCGTTGTCCTCCTGGTCCCTGGGTCCCGCAGGTGCGAGAAGCTGGCCGAGATCATCTGGCAGAACCGGCAGCAGATCCGCAGGGCCGAGCACCTGTGCCAGCAGCTGCCCATCCCCGGCCCCGTGGAGGAGATGCTGGATGAGGTCAACGCCACCATCACGGACATCATCTCCGCCCTGGTGACCAGGTGACCGCTGCCAAGGGTTCCGCATCGCACTCATATCTCTGCTTTGGGCCCCTGTCCGGTTGCTCAGGGGCAGCCTCTCTGCCCCAGGGAGCCGGAGCCCCTCCCCAAGCAGCATCTCAGGCCTGTCTGGTCCCTCTGTCCCCGCAGCACGTTCATCATCGAGAAGCAGCCCCCTCAGGTCCTGAAGACCCAGACCAAGTTTGCGGCCACCGTGCGCCTGCTGGTGGGCGGGAAGCTGAACGTGCACATGAACCCCCCGCAGGTGAAGGCCACCATCATC